AACAAGTCAGGAAACGACAGATGTTGGAGGGGATGCAGAGAAAGAGGAACCCTCCTACGCTGCTGGTGGGAATGCAAGCTGGTGCAGCCACTCTGGAAAACAGTATGGAGGTTCCTCAAAAAGTTGAGAATAGAGCTACCATACAACCCAGCAATTGCACTACTAGGTATTTACCCCAAAGATACAAATGTAGTGATCCAAAGGGGTATGTGCACCCTGATGTTTATAGCAGCAATATCCACAATAGCCAAACTATGGAAAGGGCAAGATGTCCATCAACAGATGAATGGATAAAGAAGAAATGGTATACATATACAATGGAATAATATGCAGCCATCAAAAGGAATGAAATCTTGCCATTTGTAATGACGTGGATAGAACTGGAGGGTATTATGCTGAGCAAAATAAGTCAATCAGAGAAAGATATGTATCATATGATCTCACTGATATGAGGAATTCTTAATCTAGGAAACAAACTGAGGGTTGCTGGAGTGGTGGGGGGTGGGAGGGATGAGGTGGTTGGGTGATAGACACTGGGGAGGGTATGTGCTATGGTGAGCGCCGTGAATTGTGTAAGACTGTTGAATCACAGACCTGTACCTCTGAAACAAATAATACGTTATATGTTAAGAAAAAAAAAAAGAAGATAGTAGGAAGGGAGAAATGAAGGGAGGAAATCGGAGGGAGAGACAAACCATGAGAGACTATGTACTCTGAGAAACAAACTGAGGGTTCTAGAGGGGAGGGGTGTGGGAGGATGGGTTAGCCTGGTGATGGGTATTAAAGAGGGCATGTACTGAATGGAGCACTGGGTGATGTACGCAAGCAATGAATCATGGAAAACTACATCAAAAACTAATGATGTAATGTATGGTGATTAACATAACATAAAAAAAAAGAAACAAGAGCTCTGAATGATGCATTGGACCAGATGGACTTCGTAGATATAAACAGAATATCCCATCCTAAAACAAGAGAATACTCATTCTTCTTGAGTGTACATGGAACTTTCTCCAGAATACACCACATACTGGGTCAGCAATCATGTCTCAACAGATACCAAAACATTGAGATTATTCCCTGCATATATTTAGACCACAATGCTTGGAAACTGGAACTCAACCACAGGAAGAAATTTGGAAGGAACTCAAGCACTGCGAAGTTAAAGAGCACCCTGCTAAACAATGATTGCATCAACCAAGAAACTAAAGAAGAACTTAAACAATTCATGGAAACTAATGAGAATGAAAACATATTGGTCCAAAACCTATGGGATACAGTAAAGGCGATCCTAAGAGAGAAATATATTGCCATCCAAGCCTCTCTCAAAAAATTAGAAAAATCCCAAATGCACAAGCTAACCTTACACTTAAATGACCTGGAGAAGGAATAGCAAATAAAGCCTAAACCAAGCGGGAGAAGAGAAATAATAAAGATTAGAGCAGAAATCAATGAAATAGAAAACAGAAGAGTAGAACAGATCAATGAAACTAGGAGCTGTTTCTTTGAAATAATTAATAAGATCAATAAAACTCTGGCCAGACATATCCAAAAGAAAAAGGGAAAGGACCCAAATAAATAAAATCATAAATAAAAGGGGAGAGATCACGACTAACACCAAGGAAATAGAAACAATTATTAGGAATTATTACCAGCAACTATATGTCAAAAAATTAAGCAATCTGGAAGAAATAGATGAATTCCTGGACACTTATAAACTACCAAGACTGAAACAGGAAGAAATAGACAATCTGAATACACAAAAAACCAATAAGGAAATTGAAGCCGTAATCAAAAACCTCTGAAAAAAATAAGAGTCCAGGGCCAGATGGTTTCCAAGGGGAATTCTACCAAACATTGAAAGAAGAAATAACACCTATTCTACTGAAGCTATTTAAAAAAATAGAAATAGAAGGCAAATTTCCAAACTTGTTATATGAGACCAGTATTACCATGATCCCAAAACCAGACAAAGAGCCCATCAAGAAGGAGAATTAAAGACCAATGTCCCTGATGAATATGGATGCCAAAATACTCAACAAGATCCTAGCCAATAGGATCCAACAGAACATTGAAAGGACGTTTTAATCCTTTGATTAAATCCTACTATAACCAGGTGGGATTTTTCCTGGGCTGCAAGGGTCATTCAACATTCAGAATTCAATCAATGTGATAGAGCACATTAATAGAAGAAATGACAAGAACTATGTGATCCTCTCAATTGATGCAGAAAAAAACATTTGACAAAATACAGCCTCCTTTCCTGATTAAAACTCTTCAAAGTATAGGGATAGAGGGAAAATATCTCAATATCATAAAAGCTATTGATGTAAAGTGCACAGCGAATATCATTCTCAATGGGGAAAAGCCGAGAGCTATTCCCTTAAGGTCAGGAACATGACAGGGATGCTCACTCTCACCATTATTGTTCAACATTGTACTAGAATTCCTAGCCTCAGGAATCAGACAACAAAAAGAAATAAAAGGCATTCAAATTGGAAAAGAAGAAGTCAAACTCTCTCTCTCTTCGTAGATGACATGATACTTTATATGGAAAACCCAAAAGACTCCACCCCCAAATTGCTAGAACCCATATAGCAATTCAGCAATGTGGGAGATTACAAAATCAATGCACAGAAATCAGTTGCATTTCTATACACTAACTAACTGAAAAAAGAGAAATTAAGGAATTGATTCCATTTACAATAGAACCAGAAACCATAAGATACCTAGGAATAAACCTAACCAAAGAGGTAAAGGATCTGTACTCTGAAAACTAGAGAACCCTTATGAAAGAAATGGAGGAAGACACAAAGAGATGAGAAAACATTCCTTGCTCATGGATTGGAAGAATAAACATTGTAAAAATGTCTATGCTGCCCAGAGCTATCTACACTTTCAATACAATCCTTATCAAAATACCATTGACATTTTTCACAGAGCTCAAACAAACAATCCTAAAATATGTATGGAACCAGAAAAGACCCCAAATTGCCAGGGGAATGTTGAAAAAGATAACTAAACTTGGGGCATCACAATGCCTGACTTCAAGCTATATTACACAGCTGTGATCATCAAGACAGCATGGTACTGGCACAAAAACAGACACATAGAACAATGGAACAGAATAGAGAACCCAGAAAATGGACCCTCAACTCTATCATCAACTAATCTTCGACAGATCAGGAAAGAATATCCAATGGAAAAAAGACAGTTTCTTCAATAAATGATGCTGGGAAGATTGGACAGCTACATGCAGAAGAATGGAACTGGACCATTCTCTTACACCATATGCAAAGATAAACTCAAAATGGATGAAAGACCTCAATGTGAGACAGGAATCCGTCCAAATCCTAGAGGAGAACATAGGCAATAACCTTTTTGACATCAGCCACAGCAACTTCTTTCAAGACATGTCTCCAAAGGCAACAGAAACCAAAGCAAAAATGAACTTTTGGGACTTCATTAAGATAAAAAGTTTCTGCACAGCAAATGAAACAGTCAACAAAATGAAGAAGCAACCCACAGAATGGGAGAAGATATTTGCAAATGATATTACAGATAAAGGGCTAGTATCCAAGATCTATGAAGAACTTCTCAAACTGAACACTGAAAAAACAAAAAATCCAGTCAATAAATGGGCAGAAGACACGAACAGACACCTCTCCAGAGAAGACATACAAATGACCAATAGACACATGAAAAAAGTGTTCAACATCACTAACCATCAGGGAAATACAAATCAACCACAATGAGATACCACTCTACACCAGTTAGAATGGCCAAAATGAACAAGACAGAAAACAACAAGTGGTGGCGAGGATGTGGAGAAAGGGGAATGCAAGCTGGTACAGCCACTCTGGAAAGCAGTATGGAGGTTCTTCAAGACATTAAAAATAGAGCTACCCTATGACCCAGCAATTACACTACTAGGTATATACCCCAAAGATACAGATGTAGTGAAAAGAAGGGGCACAGGCACCCCAATGTTCATAGCAACAATGTCCACAACAGCCAAACTGTGGATGGAGCCACGATGTCCTTCAACAGATGAATGGATAAAGAAGATGTGGTTCATATATACAATGGAATATTATTCAGCCATCAGAAAGGATGAATACCCACCATTTGCATCAACATGGGTGGAACTGGAGGGGATTATGCTAAGTGAAATAAGTGAAGTAGAGAAAGACAATCATATGGTTTCACTCATATGTGGAACATAAGGAATAGGGTAGAGAACGATAGGGGAAGGGAGGGAAAACTGAATGGGAAGAAATCAGAGAGGGAGACAAACCATGAGAGACTCTGGACTCTGGGAAACAAACTGAGGGTTACAGAAGGGAGGGGGATGGGTGGATGGTGTCGCCGGGTGATGGGTATTAAGTAGGGCATGTGTTGTGATGAGCACCGGTTGTTATATACAACTAATGAATTGTTGAACACTACATCGGAAACTAATTATGGACTATATGTTGACTAACTGAACATATATAAATAAATAAATAAATAAGCAAGCAAGCAAGCAAGCAAGCAAACAACCTAGATAAAAGTTTTTCCACATATGAGGTATTCTTCTTTTTTCAATTCATTATAAATTTTAGGGTAAATTCCATATGCCCAGTAGCAATGTTCAAACACTAGGATTCTTTTTTTAAATTTAATTTGTATTGTATTCTATTGTATTGTATTGTATTATGTTATGTTAGTCACCATACAATACATCATTAGTTTTTGATGTGATCCATGATTCATTGTTTTCGTATAACACCCAGTGCTCCATGCTTTATGTGCCCTCCTTAATACTCATCACTGGGCTAACCCAGCCCCCCACCGCTATCCCCTCTAAAACCCTCAGTTTCTTTCTCAGAGTCCATAGTCTTTCATGGTTCATCTCCCCCTCCGATTTCCCCCCCTTTGTTTTTCCCTTCCTTCTCCTAATGTCCTCCATGCTATTCCTTATGTTCCACAAAAAATTGTTTCATTTCACAGTTCAATCCCTGCTTGATAAATGGACAGTGTTTTGCTTCTCCTGAGGTTTGTAAGGATGGAGACATGGGCTCACACCTAAGGCTGAGTGCTGTTTAGTTATTTTTTCCTTTCTCCTGCACAAAACATTCCATCTCTGCCCCTTTTAGATTTTATGCATGTTGCTTTCTCCCTTCCTCTTCACCCAGTCGATGTACTTTAAGGGGATCAGTCAGCAAACATAACTATTTTCCATTTTTCTACTGCACAGGCTCCAGGAGTTTCGATCCAACAGTCACAGTTCCCTGGCAGCCAGAGAGGAGCCATGATCTTAGTGAGAGGACAGGACTTGAATGTCACTGCACTGACATCATCTGAGTAGTTTGGGTCAGAAAGAGAGAAAGTTTATAATATTGAAAGAAGGAGGAGGAGAAAGAAGAAGAGGGCTGGTTGAGAAGGAATTTGTAGAACTTTGGAGAAAACTATTGAGATAACAAAAAAAGCCTACATTACAAATAAAGAAATAATACAGGGGAAAAAAAGATCATTTCCTTTTGTGATTAAGGAAATTATATTACCTTCAGAGAAAAACAGTATTCATTTATTTTTTCTACTTATGAATTCCAAATTAGAATTCACATTAGAGTAGTATTAGTAATAATCCTCTATTAAGAAGACTATACTTTTTCAAGTATAATCAGGTATAAGGAATTAATGCCATGGCCCTTTATACTCCTAGAAATAAACAAAATATTCCAATAATAATCTTTAGGAAAATCATATTTGCTTCCACATCTACCTCTACCATTTTTCTTAAAAATGACCATTAAAGATAATTTAAAAACAGTTTTGTTTGTGTATTTGATTGATTTTTGTTTATAATATTCCCACATATCAGGAAACTACTGTGAATACTTTTTGAAAGTTTAGTAACATAATAATCATTTTTAAATGAGACAACAGTTACACATCATTTTTGAAATTTTGTTTGTTAACTTTACATAAGCAACACATAGGTTACATTATTAATTAGACCCTTGTGGGCTAGCCTAAGAACTGTTTTGTCATTTATAGATGAGTTTTATAAATTTTGTTTTCTGTCTAGCATATCATAAAAGTGATTTACAAATGAGCTTTCTAAAAAGCAAGCCATTTATAATTCGCTAACTTCATATATTCAAAAGTTGTGTTTACTCCTTCAGGTTTGTGTATTGCCTTTGAACTCAAACCTTGACATTGAGCAACTGGAGTAGTTTAGTCCTTTGAAGAATCTGTCTCAATTGTTACATGATGACAATTAACATTTAATAGTAAAAATTATAACATGTTTTGATAGTAAAAAAATAAAATTTTTTCAACAGACTCACAAAAATTGTTTCATTTCACAGTTCAATCCTTCATTTCCTTGGTTATGATCACAGGCTATATCCTCCTGATAATACATTTAGCCTGAGGAAGAAACAATTCTTTCCAGAGATGATTAGATTAAGAAAACTTTAGGGCATGAGACTTTCTACATTGTCTTTTCAGGAATCAGTTCCTTAAAAACTGCTTGGGGAAAGTTTGACATTCAATTTAAACTTCCTTGGTGTTTATTTCACAGGTGGTGATGGGGAGATAAAATGAATATTTAAAAATCCACTTGATGAAAGAATTTGCACATAGAAATTCCATGCTGCTGAGGAAATAAAGAAACAACAATGAAAGACTATGTTCCAGTAGATATGCCTGAATTAGTAAAATGATTTAAAAACTATTACTTCAGCCATGTCATAAAGATTTGTAAAATAGAAATCTGTACAGTATATTGAATACTATTTTCCCCTTGACTTCCAATATAAAGCAAATGAGTTGTTCCTTTGGGAATATTTGTCTTCAGAATGTCACAAAAATGCAAGTTAAGAATACATTTAGTCTTTCTTAAACCACTCATGAAAAAGCAAAACATTAACATTCAGTGAGAATGTTGATATACACCATATCTTTAAAGGAGAAGATACTGAGAAATGAGAGCTGGAGGAAATATTATGAAGTAATAGCAAGTAATTCTCACTTATTCTTTAAATATATAACTTTATAAAGTTAGCTGCTTAGTTATTTTTTTCCACTAAAAGAAGCCAACAAAAAATTGACCTCTAATATAAAGTTCCATTTAATATTGGGCAATGACGAGCCACTTTTGGAAAGTTTGTTCATTGTTCTATGATGTAAATAGCTCAGACTGCCTTTAGGTTGAATATGCTTTCCTGATTTGGGGCTTAGTTCCTACAGAAACTATAATCTATCACTTGAACCTCTAGCCAATATGATTCAGATCCCATTATATATTGGTGTTAAAAGAGATCAGTGAGCTCTGGCTACAATTGTAAATATGTGAGGTAAACCATGTATGGTATTTCCATCCTCCTTGTATTTTTATTTTTTCCTAATTTAGAGGCTCCTTCAACTTCCACCAACATTAATTATTTTCATTCAGTGTTTCATTTCCCCACCTTCATCTGCTTTAAAATATTTATAAGTAAGCTTAAAGCCTACTTTTTCCTGGAGTATTTACATTTTAAGAAGGGTTAGTCTTATGACGAAGTTCAGGAAATATTTAATTGGTGTGTAACATTAAAATTACTAATTGAAATAGGATTTAGGTACTATACATGTTGTTTTCTATTGAAAATAAATTACTTGTTTTAACTTAAATATGTGCTCCTATATAAAGTACCAAACTGGTCATTATGAATGGTTTGATTAATTAACCTATAAAGTCATTTTTCATTTGCACTCTGAGTCAAGTCATACCACAGTAAAATGCTAACATATCTGATTAAATGTGGAGAGTTATTGGTGAGCTCCTTTCTGTGCCCATTAAATTGCAATATAGGCATGGATATAGGAAATCAAAGAGATAAGATACTGCCTACATTAACATGTTTTCTTGTCCAAGAGAAATCATTAAGTTTAGAAGAGACTAACCTTGGAAAACATAAAAATTATATGCTCTAATAAAATTCATTGCATAAGCATCTGATTCATGGGTATTTTTGTTGACCATTAGTGTAATTCCTGAAAATTGGTATTACAATTGGTCAGTTTCATATTAAAATGAATAAACAAGGTAATATTTTGAAAACTATGAATGTAATTTTCTCTTTTGCCTTTCAAACACAGTTATAATTCTCATGTGTCAGAGGCATCCACTGGTCTGAAGTGAAATTAGGGTTTACTACAAAAAGAACACACAACAAAAGTAAGAATCAGGTAACATTAGCTTTTGATATTGAAAATTAAGTTTTTGCCTAGACCTCAAACCTGAAGATTTTCTCTCATATATTTTTCTAATAATTTTTGTCTATTTTTTTCCTAAAAAAATCAACTAGCAATCCCTAACAATTAGCTGTTTGCCAGATGATTAACTGCCTCTCTGCCCTCTTCATGGACCCCATGGTTAGATAAACTACAAAATGGTATGGAATCATTCACACTTAGCTTGTGCTGGACCAGGCCACACCATCTCACCTTTCTGACTCTTGACAAGACCTCAACCTTACAAGAGCTGCTGCACTGTCATTTTCTCCTGCATTTTAATAGAAGGAGTCACAGGTAAAGCCATGAGTTTATGAGCATGCCCCTCTTCAGCTTCTAACTCTCAGCCTGGGCTCTTTCCATTGTCCCTGTGAAGCACTGGCCAGCTGACTGCCAGTCACTCCTCAGAGTACCATAACTGCCTCTTGGACTGCCTCAGCATATGCTCCAGGACAAGGAGTAAACAGCCCTGATAGCTCAGAGAATTTGCCAGATTTCAGTAATTTAACCCGGTGCCTACTCAACAACTTGCCATCTCAGCATCCAGTGGCTAGCTGGCCTGGATTGCCTCTACACGTACTCTGAGTGGTCAGCTCCACTCCTGACAGCTGCCTTCAACATCTTCTTTTTTTTAAAGATTTTATTTATTTATTTGAGAGAGAGAGAATGAGAGACGGAGAGCACGAGAGGGAAGAGGGTCAGAGGGAGAAGCAGACTCCCCGCTGAGCAGGGAGCCCAATGTGGGACACGATCCCAGGACTCCAGGATCATGACCTGAGCTGAAGGCAGTCGCTTAACCAACTGAGCCACCCAGGCACCCTGCCTTCAACATCTTAACCTCACTCACACAGCCAGCATTCCTTGCCTGAAATGTAGGTGTCTTTCTGTTTCTCTACACCCCATGGCTAGACAGGAGGGCACCTGGGGCTGGTAGTTTGCCCTCCAAGGGTGCCTGCCAGGAGAATCCTGTCTCTTTCCAAATAAGAAGCAGCAAGGAACTGTGGGGAACCCCAGAGATGTAGGCATCCTGCCCATCTGGAGACAAGAACTAATCTGTATTCCTTCTTGTCTTCAGCTGGCATTTTGGATAACACCTCCTGGACGTATGTCCCTGAACTCTTTTCAATTCTGTGCCAGGTTTCTATTTGACCTCTTTCCCAACACAGCACTTCTCCTTAAAAATCTCTGTTAGAAAATTTTCTCTCTGTACACCATCGTCAATTTATTCCTTTTACATAGGTACCAGTACTATCCTTTTTCCTGAGGAGAGCAGCTCTTGCTCCCACCGCCTCAGATGATCTCCCTATGGACAGAAAGTTCTGCACCAAGCTTGTTGGAGAGAAGACACTGTAAAGTTGGAAGATTCTTTGGGTGCTTCTGATCCCTATTTACTTAACAAAGTACTTGTTGGAATGCATTTGCCTTGTAACATGGTGTCAACAACTTTCCATAGAACCTTGGGAAGGTCAGTTGTGGAATGAGGGGTGTCATACTCTTCTTATCGTTTGGTTTAATTAAAGTGGAATAGACTATAATGAAATTATTGACTTGATCGGGTTCTTATTAACTGGAACTGGCAGGAGCAATGGAAAATACTTGAATGATTTAGTCTCGGCCAGTCCTGTTATGTAAAGAGGTTTCAGGACCACCTCCTTCTCTATCTTTCAACCTCACCTCACCAGGAAGCCCAACAAAACTACTTTATCCCCTGGGCCTACTTATTAAACATTCCTAGTTTCCTTTGCTTGAGATTCTCCAATAGCCCTGCCTACCACTTGGCCCTTTCCTAGCATCTCTACTTCCCAAGGAAGCAACATTTCTTTAGGGTCCCTGGCATTTCCTCTGCCTTATGCTGAAACATTCCTAGACTCAAAAGAAGTTGACTAAAGTTGGCCAGGACAGGATAACTTTGTTCATAGGTTTCATCTGTTTCTACAGGGGCAAAGATTCCATGCCCATCGTGTGGAAAAATAATTGTTTATTATGGGAGGAGAGCACTATTGCTGCTCTCAAGTACTGTAACTCTCAGCTTGTATGGCATTTTCTTAGGAAATGAAACATGTTTGGGGACCTGTCTTTGTAGCATGATAGAAAGATGTTAGTCCCATTGGTATTCTTGGTGAGCTATTATTGCAGCTAAGAGGTAGATAATAAGTCTACTCTGTGCTGGGAGAGGCTGTTCTGCCCACCTTGAGCATCCCTGTTCTGTAGCATCACTGTCAGAATGCTGTGCAGTTGACCTGGCTCTCCTGATTCAGGTCTGACCCCATGGACATCCTGTAACCCATGAGAACAGATAAGGCAGACTTTGGAAGAATAGCATGGGAAGTCATGCTGGATCCTTTCAGGGGTGTAGGATTTGCAGTCCTAATCTTTGTGCTTTATTGCTCTACCAGTTAGACAACATTTTATGACCAGTGTATCCATGGATCTAGCAAGGTACACTGCAGGACACTCAGGCATAGATCTATTGAAGTTCATTTGTATTCCTGGGCAGCTCAGGGAAGCACTCTTCCTTCTAAATGGTGAGCAGCATGTGTCTGAAAGAAGCCTGTTCTGCTCTAGTCTACCATTTTAAATCTCACTTCTTGGTACAGACTAATGTTAAGTTGTGCCTGGAAAAGTGATGTGCACTAGACATAGTCACTAAGTCCATAAGCCCAGGACATCCCCAGGACACAACATTTACTGGGTTCACATTGCCAACTTGACAGTGTGAGGGGCAGGGGATTGGGAGAAGGGGCTCCATTTCATCTGTCTTCTGTCCTCATTTTACTAGTAAGCAGACTTAATTTTATTTTTTTTAAGATTTTATTTATTTCACAGAAAGAGAGGGAGAGAGAACACAAGCAGGGGGCAAAGGAGAAGCAGAAGGAGGAGTAGAGTGAGAGGAAGAAGCAGACTCTCCACTGAGAAAGGAGTCTGATGTGGGGCTTG